TGATTGATTGATTGATTGATTGATTGATTGATTGATTGATTTATGGAACTTATATGGCTGCCTATCTCACATAGAGATCCTAGGTGACTCATAGCAGCCAAGAAAAACAGAATAACCCTTCCCACTAGGGTCAGACCAACCAGTGATCAACCTCCAGGCTCAACCCCCTCCTCACCTAATGTTTGTGGGAAGAGGCAGGACTTCATTGCTTTCCAGAAGGGTAAAAGGGTAGGGGTTCCTCAAATCTCAGGTGGGAGGCAATTACAAAGGGTTAGGGTAGCTATAGAGAAGGTATGCCTCCAAGGTCCTGTCAGATGGCAGCATTTAAGGGAGGGGACCTCAAATTACTTTTTCTTGTATAAACTAATGAAACAAGGAAATAAGTCAGTATCTGCATTATAAGTGTGCAGGCCAGTTCTGTGTAAGTTTGCTCAGAAATAAATCCAGTCTAATTCTGGGTAATATGTTTGTGTGGGATTTCAATCTTTAGAGCCAAATATGATGAGATGTGGAAACTCTTTCAAACACTATTTCTAAACTGATATGCCTCCATAGAGAGGTTATACATACATTTAGTTGGAATAGTAAGAAGTAGTTTAACTCCTTCTCCGTAGGCTGTTTTTTTAATCATCCTTACTCTTTTCCTCACAGTGGAAACAGATATAGAAAGCTGATGTATTTTCTTTTAAAAAAGCAGTGTGGAAATTATTTTGAATGGAAAAATATTCCACAGGGAAAGATTTAAACCCCACATTTTCCTTCCACCACTGCTCCTTCCAGGCTGTGCTTCATTCAAAAGGTGTGCATGGATCTCCCATATATTATCCTGGCCTTAGACTTGTCTAAAATGGAAGGGACTGTGGATTTCTAGCAGGGAATTTTCAGCATCATAGCCAAATTACCAGTCCCAGAATCTTGGGGAAGAATGTCATGTCATAATAGTTAAAATAATGCATATTAAGTGAAGAAATATTTGGGGAGTAGCATTTATGATCAGCAAAAAGGTGTTAATTTTGGAAATGAATCCTTCCCAGTGCATTATATAATATAGGGATATAGGATATGAAGATAGCTTGGCTCTATTTTGTGCTATTCTTGTGCATTTGAAATTAAATATTCAATTTTATTATTTTAAGGCTCTCAACCAGAATGCTGAACTAAGGAGTCGCTTGAACAGAATACATTCAGAGTCTATTCTTTGTGATCAGGTTGTCAGTGTAAATATTATCCCTAGTCCTGATGAGGTAAGACTTTGGTATTGCTCTAATGGACTTACCATAGTAAAATTCTGCTGATTACCATTAATGATTAAATGATTATGGTTAGCAAAGTTGGCAAGCAGTGGGACAAACTCATTTTAGATCATAATTTTCTAATTGCATTCATGAAAGTAATGAGCTGTAATTAGTGGGAAATTCCCTTTGGAAAACCATATTTTAAATTGCTGAGAAGTGAAACATTTGGCAACCTCATTCAGGGAGTATGAATTAATCATGTTTCTAGTATCATGAACAAGCAGATGAAATGTAAATATGTAAAAGCCATGCCAGTTTATATCAAATACCTATATAACACAACAGCCTGTTCCCAAGCTACTATGGGGAACCCTGTGAATATTTGGCACTTTTCTACTCATGTTCTTTTGCAGCTGATCTTCAGAGATGATCCTAAGGTTGGCCTAGAGGTGTCTGACTTAGTAGCCACTGATAACTTTATTCCCCATGAATTTCTTGAACACCCTTTTTAATTATACTTAAGCTATAGACTCATCCTGGAGAAGGTTTATGCATGTGGCGGTTAAGAGTCAACATCAACCTGATGACACCTAATTAGTTAATAGCTATTGGCAGTTACCATATTTAGAGTAGCTAATTCTATTCATTACCTAAGTGTTATGTGAAGATAGTCTTCCATTTGTTTTTCCTAAATCTGCTTCTGAATTTCTGTGCTATGAGAGAGAGAGAACTTTTCTGTCTACTTTCATTGTATTATGCATAATTTATTCATACTTGCTACCTTATTCATTTTTTTTCAAAATTAAAAATCTCCAAATGGTGTATTTCTTGCTGGTTCCCATTATGATTCCATGATCTCTTTTCTGGTTCATCATTGCTGGTTCAATGTATTCTGTGGCCATCAGTGTATTGTGAACTTAAGATTTTTGGCCTTGGTGCACATTATTTTACCCTTATATTTTTTGAACCACATTTGCCATTTTATAGCTTCTTACCCAGTTTATAGAGACGGTTTTAGAGCTCTTCTCTGCCAATTTTTTTTTTTTTTTGCCACCCTGGTCAGTCCATACAGTCAATTATCTTATTTGTTTAGTCCAACTCCAGATCTTTAAAAATGAGTTTAAAATGTGTTAAAAAGCATTGGTCATTACCAGAACAGATCCTTGGAGTAACCCCATTTCTCCATCCATGGTGACAATCATCCACTTCCTCTCTGATTCTGATCATTTGGCAGTTATCAACCTTACACTTTGGATTTTAAAAGATGGAAGATAAACCAATTACCATTGCAACAATCCCTGTTCAGTTGAAGATTTTATTTCTTTCCTGTCCCCCTTTTGAGCAGGAGATCTTCCTGGTTAGAAAATGTAAAACTTCACTTAGGTTTAGAAGATACATGAGAAGGTAATGCTTATTGCTTTCACCAAGGTCTCTATTTCATTATGTATTTTTCTTTCAAACTCCTTTTCTTGAAAGTTATGGTGTCTCTCTTCCTCCACCACTTGCATTTTTATGCCATGTTTTAATTACATTACCATGTGCTTTGCTCGTTAATCCCTTCAATACAAACAAAAGTATATTTTTCTTTCATCTTTCATTTGAAACAACTTCTATTGGATGGGAAGCTAGAAGAATTCTTCCATAGTATGAATTGAGATAAATGGATTTAAGTACTTTTTAGAGTTGCTATACCCTGCCAAAACAGAATGTCTTGAAGCTGTATATGTCTGATGGCATATACAGCTTCTTCTCATTTTCCTGGATTACTGGAATTGCTTCTCCTATATTCTCAGGCCTGCAATCCTGTAGTAGTAGCTTTTTAATGATATACAGTATGTTAAGCTTTGCTGCAAATAGAGAAGTGTTACGTTAATGAAATACCCCATGCACTGGTAAGTGGTGAAATAAATAAGAGGGACCCATGCTGCAAGCCTGAATGGCGAAGCATCTCTCTTTCCAAGGAGAACCTTAAACTGCCTATTGAGAAGATAAAACTGTGTTGTTCACGTGGTGCAGAAGAAAAGCATATAACACCCTTTCTCCTAAAGAGGTAAAACTGCTTAAAGTAAATAGAATACAAACACTAGTTTTCCTAATAGCACACTTAGGAACAGGGTGATAAGGAGACTGCAATCAAAGCAGGAATACTCAAGAGGAAATCTTTATCAGAATCTTTTTTTAAATCCTGGAAACACAATTCATTGAGAACTGAATATAGTCAGTGGTTACAGAATGTTGAATGACATTGGGAAGAATAGAATTCCCTCTCTGGGGGGACGGCTGGCTGAGCAAGAGTTGGATTCAATCCAGCCAGTATTTTGCAGCAAGTCTCATCAATGCATGTGGAAGCACAGTGTAAATGTACTGCACTAGGAAAAGGAATTGTTAGATGGCAGGGCATGAGGAATAGGAGTTTGTCCTTATGAACAAGCACAAAAGTCTGATACACATTTTCATTAGATAATGGATTGTGCCAAGCGACAAGAGATTTGTCCTGTTTTTCCCCTTCAGTGTATAATTTGAATGTTGGGAAAAGCTTGTTTCCTCTGCAACCAAGGAGCAATCCTGAGGAAAGTAATCCATCTTTTTCTCCAGCTACAAAAAATTTTGAGGGCAACCTGAAAATACGACTCCTTTTCAACTAAACTCTCAGTTTGCTAGATATAGGGCAGGTTTACATGGCCGTCTCTGCTTATTTTCTCTGTCAGTATGCAGGAAAGAAAAAGGGGCATGTAGAAAAGAAGCAGTGCACCTCTAATCCATCGTGGCTTGGTGTGATCTTTATTTTTTCCTAGCTTGTATGAGCTCTTAGGCTCACTATATAGCATGCAGAATTCATGTATATGTTCTTCTTTTACAGACAGGTGAACAGATCCATGTCAGTCTCCCACTTTCCCAACAAGTTTCTAATGAGAGCAGGCTCTCCATGTCTGAATCTGTCTCTGAATTTTTTGATGCGCAAGAAGTGCTTCTGTCTGCAAGCTCATCAGAAAATGAGGTTAGGAAGAACAGTCTTTACTTGGTGTTGTAATTTATAATTATGATACCTTTATGTTTGTGTAACATGAGATTGAAGTGCTGGATGTTTCATTTTAATTAGGAAAACTGGGGCATGGTGTAGCCTGTCCTTGGTTCACATTTATGAACTGTGCTTTGTTGATGTTCTTCTTAAACATGCATGTCTCAGCCAGTGTTCCATGTATGAGAACAATCATGCTGACCTATCAGTTAAGTTTATTGCAAACGTTACTGAGATAATATACATTTATTTGAACACTCTGAAATGCTAGACAAAATAAGGGCTACCATATCTGACCTGCAAAACTGAGGACAGTTATAAGATGGCACCAAAATGTTAGAATTTTTGGAATCTCTCTGTTGCTTTTGCTTTTAGCAGCCCCCATGTAGTAGTCCTGAACTAAATGCTAAGTAATACTGCTACACTCCAGGTGGGGCCCTTTCGATTTTAGCAGGATTAGTCCAGAGTAAAGGAAGTGTTTGTTTCTTACTCTGTCCTTAGAACATTTCTGAAATCAGTAGTTCATTATCTCTGCTCTATTTTTCCCCTGTAAAGGACCGTTAGGTGGCTAAGTAATATGTAGATCTTGCTAAAAAGGGCATAGTAGAATATAGTGAAAGAGAGATACGGAGGATTTAGGTCCAGCTTGGAATGCTTACTTGAAACTATTTCCCATTGAAATCCCTGGAATATTCTTCTCAATAAAGGTATTATGATGTTTTAAAACAGTTTGTATTCTGTTTTTCATTACCTTTGTAGTTCTGGAGCTAATGGCAGATAATGGCTGAATAAACAAACATTTTTTTCAGGATTTTTGGTTTAATAGTGAAGGAACATAATGGTGGTGTTTGCTTCTCTGTCATTCCCATTTGGGTTCTCCTGCCAAAGGGATCACCTAAACCAGTGTTTCTCAACCTTGGGAAGTTTAAGCTGTATGGACTTCAACTCCCAGAATTCCCCAGCCAGCCTTGCTAAACCAGTGTTTCTCAACCTTGGGAAGTTTAAGCTGTATGGACTTCAACTCCCAGAATTCCCCAGCCAGCCTTGCTAAACCAGTGTTTCTCAACCTTGGGAAGTTTAAGCTGTATGGACTTCAACTCCCAGAATTCCCCAGCCAGCCTTGCTGGCTGAGGAATTCTGGGAGTTGAAGTCCACACAGCTTAAACTTCCCAAGGTTGAGAAACACTGACCTAAGCAAACATTTTGGAAGTCACTGGTTGAAGAACTGTCCATGTCCATTGAGCCACCTCTCTTGGGGAGATAGAAGAACACCTACACCAGTGTTGTCCAAACTTGGCCACTTTAAGATGAGTGGACTTCAACTCCCAGACCCCGAACCCTAACCCATGGCTGGCTGGGGAATTCTGGGAGTT